GAAGATGAGGAAGTTTGGAACAATTTATTAGAGGTGCTCAATTTATTTTGTACTGTTTCAGGGTTGAAAATCAACAAAGCAAAGTGTTCTTTGGCTGGAATAAACTCAGATTGTGAGAAATTAAAAAGGATGGCAGATTCTTGCGGTTGTGAGGTGGGTAGTTGTCCAATAAAGTACTTGGGTCTCCCTCTTGGGGGTAGGCCAAGAGCACTTATGTTTTGGGATCCAGTGGTAGAAAAAATGGAGAACAGACTTCAAAGTTGGAAGAAGGCCTTCTTATCCAAAGGAGGCAGATTAACTTTGATTCAATCTGTTTTGGGAAGCTTGCCAATCTACTACATGTCCTTGTTCAAAATTCCTTGCGGGGTGATTGGACGCCTAGAAAATTTAATGAAAGGGTTTCTTTGGGAGGGGGTGGAGGAAGGAAAGAAAAACCACCTGGTGAAATGGGAGATAGTTATTAAAAGTAAGGAGGAAGGGGGTTTAGGTGTGGGGAATTTGAGGAATCAGAATGAAGCGTTATTGGCTAAGTGGTTGTGGAGATTCCCAAAGGAACCAAATTCTCTCTGGCATAAGGTGATAAGAAGCAAGTATGGGCTGCATGATAATGGGTGGAATGCAAATCCTCTATTGCGGGGTTCAAGTCGAAGCCCCTGGAAAGATATTTCGTGTGGTTTCCGATCGTTTCTACAATGTTGCAAGTTTGAGGTGGGCAACGAGAAGAGGGTGAGGTGTTGGGAGGATGGTTGGTTGGAAGGGGGACCATTGAAAGAACAATATCCTAGATTATTCTTACTATCGAGAATGCACAACCAGAACATCGCAAGTTTTGTGGATCTTTCTATCAATTCTTGGATCTGGAATTTTGATTTTAGGAGAAATTTGAATGAGGCGGAGATAGAAGAGGTGGCTAGATTATTACAGAAAGTGGAAAATGTTTGCTTGTCTCAATCAAGAGCGGATGACAGAAGGTGAAACTGGAATTATCAGGATTGTTCACTTGCAAATCCTATCGCTCTTTCTTGAGCAACAATGGGATTGTGCAACATTTTCCACCTTCTTCTGAGATTTGGAAATCAAAAGTTCCTCCGAAGGTCAAAGTTCTTGTGTGGCTAGTGGCTATTGGGAAGCTCAACACTTGTGATCAAATTCAAAGGAGAAGTCCTTTTATTTGCTTTCTCTCCCCATTGGTGCAGTTTGTGTAAAGCTAAGGAGGAGAGTGTTAACCACATTTTTCTTCATTGTTCTTACACGATTCAACTGTGGTGGAAATTGTTTCAGGAGGTTAAAGTTAGTTGGGTCATTCCAAAGGGTTGTTTCGAGCTTCTAAGCACCAATTTTGAGGCTCTAGGAATTGGGAGGAAAGCTAAAGCTTTGTGGGGTTGTCTGGTGTTGGCAGTTTTTTGGAACATTTGGTTGGAGAGTAACAAAAGAATTTTTGAGGATTATACTGGTGTGGGGGTAGCAGATCTATGGGGAAGAGTAAGATATTGGGCAGCCCTCTGGCTTCAGTTTCGAATGATTTTAAGAATTACTCTCTTTCTCACATACTGTGGGATATGTTAGCAGTTGTAAAGTGATTTTGGTTGAGGTTTTCCTACTTGTAATCAGATCCTCTTGAGAGATTTTCTTGTTCTGTTCTTGGTGGATTTCTTATCCACTTCTGTGTATTTCACTTTTCTTTTTTAATAAACTGTTATAGTTTCTTCTCAAAAAAAATCTGAACCGGTTTAAAGTGATGTTTAATTTCTGGGAGCTGCTATTGGCATTAAAAAAAAAATAATTTATGTCAACTAGAGACAACAGTTATCAAACGTTCTCTTAGTATGCTTTTTTGTTCTAGATTATAGTGGTTTAAGACGCCCCTTGTAGCACCCCATACCAAATACTGTTAATATGTTAATTATAATATTTGGAGATGGTGATAAACTGATATTACTGCATATTAAGCCTATGATCGAAATTGGCTAACTCGAGATCAAAGTGATGTGTTATGCAAATCTCATAGACTATTTTGGCTAAAAAGCCTTTAAAAGTGTACATGGACCAATATGCTCTAAAATGTTTCTTTATAATTATGAGTTGGTAACATTATTCGATATACTTTGCGTGAGCTCGGATGTATTTGCAGAATTGGAAAATAGAGTTATACTATATTTGTGCAAGGCCATGAGTTAATTGTTGGAAACACTGGTTTTTAATTCTGTTGGGGGTGCCAGGAAATGAGGTGGCAAGATGGTAGTAGTTAGTATTTAATGTAAGAAAATAGATTTATACATCCCATCAAATAAACGGATTTATGGAGGTTTGACATTATAATAAATTCATAAATTTGTCTATGAAATTATAATGTTTTAAAGATGAGGTAATGTTTTAAAATTGAGGTATAATATTGTCATGTCACTCAAGTTTGAGAATGTAAATTTTTTTTTTTTGAAAATATCATAATATTTTTTAGGGTAAATTACATTTTCATACCTCGGGTTTGGGGCCTATTTTAATTCCTTACAACATCTTCAAAACATTTCACTTTCATACCTTAAGCACTATTTTATTTCAAAATAATACATCGGTTACATTTTTCATCCATGGATCCGTTAAGTGCTGACGTGGCTGCCAAATGTGTGCCATGTGGCAAAAAAAAATTTATTTATTTTTTTAAAAACCTGAATTTTCTCAAAAAAAAAAAAAAAAAACCATTATCCTTTCCCCCAGCGACCCACAGCCCCGAAGAACCCAAAAACATGAAGAAGAAGAAGAGGAAAAAAAAAATGCAACCCAAACACCTGCCCCCCCCCCCCCCCCCCCCCCAAAAGTTCCCCACCTGCAAGAAGAGGAAGAGGGAGAAGAAGAAGAAGGAAAAAAAAACAAACTACAACCTAGTTCTTCCCCCCCTCCCCCAAGTTCCCCACCTGCAACAAGAAAAGAAGAAGAAGAAGAGGAGGAAGGAGGAAGAAAAGAAAAAAAAAAAAAAAAAAAAAAAAACGCAACCCAGTTCATCCCCCAAACCCCCCCTCCCCCCCAGGGACCCCGCGACCCACCTCCCTTGCACAGAGACACCTAATCTCGGGTGGTTTTGGGGAGTTTGAGAAGGTGATGAGTTTGGGATGGTTTTGTGGTAGATCCACCTAATCTCGGGTGGGTGATGGGGGGTGGTTTGGGTGAGATTTTGGGGTGGGTGATGATGGATGGGAGAAGGGGATGGGTTTTTTTTTTTTCCTCAGGTTTTTAAAAAAAAATTTAATTATTTTTTTTTGCCACGTGGCACACATTTTGCAATCGCGTGACATATATGTGATAGTCACGTCAGTACTTAACGGATCTATGGATGAAAAATGTAACGGATGTATTATTTTGAAATAAAATAGTACTTAAGATATGAAAGTGAAATGTTTTGAAGATGTTGTAAGGAATTGAAATAGGCTCCAAACCTGAGGTATGAAAATGTAATTTACCTTATTTTTTTAATATCATTTCATACACATGCAATTTCAACAGAGATAAGTGGGCTCAAATCACATCACTTCCACCGGGAAATAGGCAATAGGCAATTCAAATCACATCACTTCCATGGGCAATAGGCAATTTAATCCCCTAAGTAAACATTAATTACCTAAGTGCATCTCTACTTCTAAGCTGAATAACCAGGCTATTGGAATAAAAATATTATTATTTTTTTATAATATAATAACAGATAATTTTATTTTTAGTTTTGATTAATGATAAAAGATTGGTTGAAAATATTGAAATGTGGTGTAAAGTAGATGCTTACAAAAAAAAATATATAAAAAATATTTATGTTTTTTTATATTTTTACTAGCTGATGAGCACACACTATGTGTGCGTAAACAATTTCATTTCATTTTTTGTGTTTTTTTTTATTAAGGAGAGTGATTAGTTTTTAAAATTTTAAAAAGAGTGAAAAATTGATGGTAAGACAATTTCTCTTAATAAATACATATTTTATCTTAATATTACATAATTACTATTTTGTCCTCCTTATGTAAATATTGTGTATCAAAAGTGAGAGTAAAATAGGAAATATAGGGATATGATTGTCATTTTATCAAAAGATGCAAATTACTACTTTGCCCTCTTTATGTAAGTATTGTGTATAAAAGGTGAGGGCAAAATAGGAAAAAAGGGTAAAAATACAAAATTACTATTTTGCCCTCATGATGTAAGTATTGTGTATCAAAAGTAAGGTCAAAATTGAAAAAAAGTGGCAAAAAGTTGACAAGGAGGGCTCTCTTAATAATAGTACAAGCATTTGTCTACACACTTTGTGTCTATGAACACATTTTTTTAGAAAAATGAGAAGAAAAGAGGAAGAGAGAGAGAGAACGTGGGGGGAGTGAGAGGTTTTTGTTTTTATTTATTTATTTTTTAAATATTAGAGATATTTTAACATCACCAGTAGGTGAGGCTTCAATAAAAAACACTAAAATTTGGACCTATGAAATTACATTATTATCCATCATTTTTTTGTGTGATAGAAGACTAAGTTGTCTTTTCACCGTCTTTTGGTTGGCAAAGAAGATTTCATTAATTAATAGAGATAGATAAGTTTTGCATTTTTAATTAATTTTTTTTATAATTTTTAATTATGGCTGATGTCATCCTTATGTCATATGGCTTAGGGGCTAGCCAATCGATTTTTGCTTGGATGAGCAATTGGGCTTAGGGTGGGAAAACAGGCCCTGGACTCGTGGGGCGGGAACTAGCGGTTTAGGACTGGATCGGGATGGTTCCATGTATTTTAGCCGAACTCAATACTAAATTATTGTCCATTGTGCGACTTAGTAGAACTTCTCCCATAAAAATATCAATGTTAAAAAAAAAAAAAAACAAAAGAGAGAAGGGGGGGGGAAGGCGGGTGTATTTTAGCCGAACTCAATACTAAATTATTGTCCATTGTGCGACTTAGTAGAACTTCTCCCATAAAAATATCAATGTTAAAAAAAAAAAAAAAAAAAACAAAAGAGAGAAGGGGGGGAGGCGGGTCTTTAATCATTTTCACTGTCTCCGTTACTCAATCTCTCTCACTTAAACTGAATCTCCACAGCTTAGTCCTCCCTCTCGAATTTCGATAGCTGAGCTCCCTCCCTCCACTCCTCTGAAGTCGACTCCGACCACCGCCTGACGGTCAATCTCACTAAAGGTATTCAATTTTATGGATTAGGATTGAAAAATAAATTAGGGTTTTGTAGATGTAAGGTTCTTGATTTGCTGCTTGTGTATGAGTTTGGAATTTGGTTTGCTGCTAGTGTATGTATGAATTTCGAATATTTAGATTTTGTGCTATTGCTGACGGTCCAACCCAGCAGGCGTCGACTCGTACGCTCTGTGGTTCCGGAAATGGAGTTGGCGAACAAGGTGGTGAGCGCTGCCACGAGAGCGGTGAGCAACAACACGGTGATAAACGTGGCCCTGGTGGGTGCGTTCGTTGCACTGGGCGTAAGGTCGGTGAAGCAGCAAAACGACATCGAATCGCTGGAGGCGGAGAAGGCGTTCCTCATCAAGTCGAACAAGGCGGCGAAGCAGACCTTGTGGGACTGGAAGCAGCAGCTCTTCGCGGATGCCGCCTCCGCCGACTCCGCCTTGGTTCCGCTTTCCAGGCTCAAAGCCATCTACGGCGAAGCCCCAGTCTCACAAATTGGTAATTTCACTCACTCTCACTCTCACTCTCACTTACTTTGATTTTGCGTTTGTTTATAGGGGTTAGAAAATTTAGGGTTTGATAATTGGGAAACTGACCGAAATGCAGATTTGACAAATCTCAATTGATGAAATGATCATAATCAAATAACGACGACATATCGATCAAATATTGATGACATTGTAGTATCGATAAAATCCCCAAAAGTGATCATTTTCGCAATTGAGATTTGTATTTTCAACATTTCAGTCAATTTCTGTTGATTATTTGTTGGTATGTTCTGATTTATCGAGTAATATTGCTTTAGGTGAGGTTGTGAAGGAGGAATCAAAATCTGCTGCCCCCAAATTTGTGGTCTGATGAGGTTTGAGTTATTTACAATTTTGGGACATTTGGGTTTCTGATTAAATGTGTCAATGTTCATAGATTTTTCTCAATCTTAGAGGCTTAGATGGATTATAGACCAAAAAGTGAGAGAGTCGGATGAACTCATTCTGAATTTTTGAGTTGTAGTTGAAGGGGCTGTTTGGTTTTGCAAATTACAATGCTACAATGCACAAGAAACTCAATATTTTCTTTCGATTCCAAGCAATTGCAGCCTAGTCAAATGTCTTGCTTTCATTTGATGATTGAGAATTTGGACCGCTTGTGTTCAAGTGTCGTGCCATGGAATTGTTGGTAACTTTCTTGTTTTTGCAAATTGCAATGCACAAGAAACTCAATGTTTTCTTTCGTTTCCAAGCAATTGCAGCTGAGTTTAATGTCATGCTCTCATTTGATGATTGAGATTTTGGACCGCTCGTGTTCAAGTGTGGTGCCATGGAACTGTGAGTAACTTTCTCTTGCCGGACTTAGGCTACCAACAAATGTTTATGTTGATGTCTAACAATTTAGGGGATGAATGTGTTGTTTTCATGAGAAGATTAAGGGGCTAAATTCAAGATTGCAACCCAGCTGATCACATTGTTTTGTTATTTTGTACTCACTTGATCAATATTTGCTTCATTATTTAGGGGAAATTTTAAGAATCAAGCTTCTGTGGTGTGTAATTAGAGATGCGAAAGACACCTGCATTCACATTTTGGCCTAAACTTGCTCCCCAAGTACTTTGTTATTGTTTTAGTTCATCTTACTAATCCTATTAACAACTTATTACTTGTTGCAAAGTGAGATTGTGAACAAGCATCTAACGTTCGGCCACATTTAGTTGTTAAGATTGGATTATATTGGATAACTCGCCAGATCAAGATAGGTTGAAGTAGTGGTATTCCTTTTCGCTTGTATGTGAGAGGTCTTTAGTTCCGAATCTCGGATATGGAGAGTTCGCAACCACTTTATTCTCTTATATTTATTCCAGTGTGTATATATATTTTGTTGTATAAAATAATTAGATAGATTGGTCTCAAAGGAAATTTATCTTTGAAAGGCATCGTTTGGTATTGTTTGTTTTTTTTTTTTTTTTTTCTCAAAAATTGATTCACTTTAAAGTTAAAGTAATAAAAAAGTGTTTGATGAAAATAAAATACACTGCTTATTTAAAAACAATGACCTCTATGCAACAGCTTTTAAAAGCAGCCTGTAGGTTGCTTTTGAAAATTGTTTTGATAAGAGAGCTGTTCGATCCACTCCACAGCCATATTTTCCCGACCAATTTTTAGTGAAAAATTTAATGACACATTGGACCTTGTGTAATATGACTTGTAAAGCCCTAATAAAATTATCCTAGTCTGTTTTTTATAGCCAAAAGAAAAATAATAATTAGAGAAGACGAAGAGAACGCATGGCTTTCTTCAAATTGGAAGAAAGGTTAGAATAAAAATAAGAAGAAAAGGTAGGAGCCCAACCATCCGTTTCAGAAAACACACTTTCCTCTTAATCGTTTTTTATCAAAATTTCAAAATTTTGTTTTCGAATTCTGTTTCGAATTCAAATGTCGCTATTGAGATTTGTTAGGGGAAAGATTTTCGGAAATCCAGCAAATTCTTCGTCGACATCAATGACGAATAAGATGAGGAGGAAGATTGAGATTATTTTTTTCATAGTCTTGGGCGTTGTGAGGTGAACATTGTACGCATGCGTCAAGCTGTCAACAAGCAGATGGTGCTCAAGGGCGAATTCACGATGAACAGTAAATGGGGTGCCGTCAATTGCTCAAGTCTATTATGAATTGGAAGGTCATGTTTGGTCGACCTGGGACGAACAAGATCGAACATCGGCTTGTGAGATTGGGCTTAATGTTGGATGCTCAGGTTTTTTGGTTTGAAAAACCTTCTGATGTAATTTCTAGTTTTCTATTTTAAGATAGTATTACTATTTAATTTAGAGTGCGGGATCCTCTTTTTCCTTTCGTCCGGATTGAAATCCCCTGCAAGATTTTTATCGAGGCACATTATTAGCTCCCTATCCTCTTTGATTGTACGTTTTCTTTATTATCTAATGAATATTGTACTTCATCTCAAATTCTAACTTTAAACTTTTGGAAAATAGTTAAATTGATATGAGGACATTTTAGGAATATTGGGGAGTGAAAAAAGAGTGTTTTAATTTTTTTATGAGGGGTGAGAATATAAGATGGAGTGTAGGGTTGCGGGGTGGGTTTAATAGCTGTTAAGCGGAGTTGAGTATAATGAATATTTCTAATTTTTGTAATACTCTCATTGGTTTTAAAAAAATAACATTGTTTAACCTTCTACACTCATTTCATCTCTTGGAGAGTAAAGTGACAACCACCACTTAGCACTACAAACACTAACCTTACACCATCACTGCCAATACCACCATCATTGTTGCTACAATCACCACCACCACCACCACCATAATGATAATTGCCACCACTATCGTTGTCACTGTCATCGCCATAATAACCACAAGCCGCCACTATTGTCACCACGACTACAACTGCCACTACTGTCGATGCCGCTACCCCTACCACCATTGTTACCTTTACACCCCAACCACCACACTCCACTATAGGTACCACCATTATATCCCCACTTTTGTCATTGCCATCACCGTTGCCCATACTCACCATCACTATCACCCCCGCCACCACCACCATTGTCATCTCCACCACCCCCACTATAATGTCCCTTTTTGTCATTATATACATTTATATCATTTTACATATAAATTTCTCAAAGCTTTTATACTGTTTTTCAGGCCATCTTTAAAATGCAGTTTATCAAAAGCTAAACTTCTTTTTTTTTATTTTTAATAAAGTTCAAAAGCAATTAAAAAAAAACGCAGTAATTTCAAACTGGCGATAAGTGTTATCCCAACATAATTTTAGGATTGGAAGTGAAACGTAACCAAATGCATAAAATTTGACACCAAATGCTCACAAGTTGATAAAAAGCAAACCATATATATTTGGTAACATGTGGTTCATAATTCGATACAAACATTTGCTGTTTATTAGGAACATGGTAAATACTATATCGGAAGTTGTGAAGGTAAATGGAGTGACTAGTCAGCAAAATGGTAGGTCACTCACTTAAATATGTAACCGCATTTTCTTGAACCCATCGAGCATGGATTTGAATCTCATCTGGATTCAAATTATAGGAGATCTTAGGGATCTTATATCTTAGTCATTCATCGTGCATTGTTTGGTCAGAAATCATTTGATTTTCTATATTTAAAATTAAACACAAATAATACCTAATGAAAACTGACCGTACGATGTACGATGAACGATTATGATATGAAATCCCTAGAATCCCCACAAAGTGGATCCGAAGAGGATCCTCTTTCATCTAGCATATTGGTGTATTTATGATATTTATAACATAGATACATAGTACGATGATGGTAAGGATGAGGACTGAAATGCCTTTGTAAATCTTTTAGGCCTCCAAAACAATGGATTGCTGTGGCAAAGCCACCAACTGATCTTTTTTTTTTTAAAAAAAGAAAGAAAAGAAAAGATACATAGTATGATTAAATATTACTAAAATTATGAATCGAACATATAAAAGCTACCTACACAATGTTTCACTTGAAATAGATTGTGTCACTGTTTTGACCAAGATCACCTATTATGATGTTTTTTTTAATTATTTATAATTATTGTTTTTGTGTTGATCACTTGAGTATTGTGTTCGGAATTAAACTTTCTTCCCAAAACCTAACATTTCTGAAAAAATTGGAGTGAGAGTGGTGGCGCCACCCTTCTACCCATTTTCACGCCGCAGCTTGATCCCTGTGCCACCACCCAATCCGACACCCACATCTCCTGCACTTAGGGTGGACATAAAAACTGTGGAACCACCAAACCGAATAGGATTGAGACAAAATAAACCAGAAAAATTGTGTTAACAAAAAAAGTCAACGTAAGTTCAAGAACCGAACTGAACTATTTAGACCAGCTCCAGTTCCAGTTTTCATGTTGGCAGAACCGCTCATAATAGAACCAAAACATGATTATAAATAATTAATTAAATTTAATAGTTGTATGCATGTGTCATTAAATGAGTGATAAAAACCAAATTGGTTTCACCTAGTCCGACTACACGGGAGCATTTCTCAATTAGGTTTTTTACTTTCACGGTTCACCTATTGACATAAAGCACATATTTGAAAAAAATTAGATCAATTTCCCTCATAGATCTCCAAATTTAACATTCTGGTTTCAATTTCATATTTTTAGATGAAATAATCTTAGATGTTGAGTTACTTCCTGCTTTTTTCTTGCCCTTTTTCCTGGGCCTTTGTTTTAATTTCTTGGTAAGTCCCTTTTGGACTTAAATTATTGCATTTATGCTAACATTCTTATAGCACAGTAAATGTATTTTACGTGTGGATGTACATTTGTATTTTGAATCTATATATGTACATTTGAATTGTGTTTCTTTTCTGTTACCTTGGTATCAAGGACATTTGCATTTTGATTTAGTATCTAAAAATGATTTGTTTTGCCACTCAGTACTTCAGTTTAGTGATATTCCTCTTTATTTGGAATCTTAGGTTCGAATCTTATGGATGGTGAATTCGATACCAAATCAGGCCGCTCATTGTGCGGGTTTGCCAACTCTCTCACTTCTTAATATAAAAATGTCAATGTACTAAAAAATGATTTATTTTGTTGGTAACTTTATATAACCATTTTAGAAGTCATATTTGAATTCAAGCAAGCAAAAAAAAAAAAAAAAACAAAAGGAAAGTAAAACCAAGTTGAATATCATTTTGATTTGGTATTTAAATGATTATTATGTCCTGTAAACATGTATGAACCAAGCCGAAATCGGTGTAAACCGAATCGTATAGTTTTAATAATAAATTTAAAAAATTGCATTGAATCGAACCATTAATATTTTCGAGTTCCCATTCCGATTTGAGCATAGAACCGTACCTTGCTCACCCAATTCAACACCCCACATTCCTAGGAGGATCCTCGTCAGATTCTTTTTGTGAGGATCCTGGATATCTTTTAATCATATCTGTTCATCGTACATCGTGCGATCATAAATTATTATAAATTTTTTATTATTTAAAATTAAATATAAACAGTATTTGATAGAAACTGAGCGCACGAAGGATTTGCGAGGATCCTCTCTTCCCACATTCGATCCAACACCTCCTATTCGACACAATTTCCCATATTCGATCCAACACCAGTTTCTCTCCCGCCCACACCCACCATAGAGCGGCGCCACACCTCCGGAACTCAAAAACCCTAAAACCCTCAAAAGCTTCTCTTCCGTCGTATACCCTCAGACCACCATTAATCTACGAGCAGACCGTCGGCGAATGGGGTTGCTTCTCCGTCCTTCACTTGCACAGCGGCTTGGTCTGGCTGCCTTCAAGCAACCTCGTCTTTCTCCCGTACCTTGCTCCTTCCTCCAGGTATCTCTCTCTAGAAACCTGCTGTAGAATTTAAATTCCAAATGATTTAATTTGGATTTTGATTTTGTTGGTGTTTTATGCCCAGAGAGGAAGAAGACATTGGACAAATTGTGCGGTAATTTTTCGCATTGATTCGGTAGGAAATTTTAGAGCTTGTTATGTGTAGAAACATTGGTGATGGTGTGTGTTGATGGCAGCTGAATGCGATGGACTGTTGGATTATGATGATAACGACGATGCCAAAGCAAGGGAGAAAGATGCTGCATTGAGTTCGGCTCTCTCACGGCTTTCCGGTGATTTTTGCCGGGAGTCTATGATGTCAATGCAGCGGTTTTCTCGATCAAGACGTCCGCCTGTCATCTCCACTGGCTCCTTGAAGCTTGATCTAGCTCTTGGGATTGGAGGATTACCCAAGGTAATTAAATCATCGACTACTCATTACTTTTTGATGGACATTGCTATTAGTTACCCTGTATGCCCTGTTGATGGTAGGACGAAAAGATGCTGGTAGTTACTAATAACTTAAAATAGGTGCATTGAATTCATTTGTATTTCAATTTTAGCTGCAAATCGATGAAATAGTGTCAATTGTAAAACCCTAGTGAGAGATGTGCATTGCCATCTGCAGGGAAGAATCATTGAAATTTACGGGCAAGAAGCATCTGGGAAGACCACGCTTGCACTTCACATCATCAAGGAGGCTCAAAAGCTTGGAGGTGTGTATTATCTCATTCTTTGTATTGGAAATGTTATTTTGCTCATCTTTGTTGAAACTCTGATCAGCTACTATATATAGAGTAAATTATCTTATCTTGTTATTTTCCATTGTGTTTGTGTATATATAATATTATACAACTCAAAGAAAAAAAATTGCCCCCCAATACACAAAGGTACACACAGATGGAAGCTATCTTCTTATAGATGGAAAACTGAAATTTTGTATGGTTGAACATGAGGCGAAATAGGAACTGATATCTAGTGATTTAGGCATGAGAGGGTAATAAAGTATAATTGGTGGACTGTATTCTCAAGGTCCTAAAAGTTTCTACCCCTTCGTTCCCTCCATAGACATGCAACCTATTCAATGAGTGATGGCCTTCAATTATATTGTTCTATATCGTAAATTTCAAGTCTGTTATTATATTTGCTTAACTGAACTGTCCTTTTGGCAGGACTTTGTGCATTTCTTGATACAGAGAATGCCATGGAATGTTCACTTGCAGAATCTATGGGTATAAACACCAAAAACCTTCTCTTTTCACGTCCCTGATTCTGCTGAGAATATGCTATGTGCTGTTGACACTCTGACTAAAAGTGGTTCTTTGGATGTGATTGTGGTTGATAGTGTAAGTGATTGATACTCTGACTAAAGATACATCTACCTGTTTTTCAACACTAATCTTTATTTTATTGACCTTTAACGCCAATCTTTAAGTGCACCAAATATTTCTACAGATATCCTGACATGTCTACACTTATATGGATGCTATCATTTCTGTTTGAAGAACCCTCTGTCATTTCTAAGTTATGCTATCAAGTTATACAGGAACGGTGACACTTTCAGACTGTTGTATTTTAAATTTCAGAATCTAAGAAAGTTACCTCTTATACAATTAGATAGACCTGGGAACCGAAATGCAGTGTGACTAACTAATGAAATATATAAACTGAGATCAGTTCAGTGTTGAATGGAACTCTTAGAGAGTTCATTATTGGACCTGTATTTCCTTTTCTTTGGTTAATTAATTTACGCTGCTATGCTGTCATAGATGTAGATAATCACTATTAATCACTTTAAAGTCTTTTGAGGATATAAAAACTATCAATTTAATATTTGGCATGTTTTGATATTTCAGGTAGCTGCCCTGGTCCCCCAGTGCGAACTTGATGCTGAAATTGATGGTGAATACCGAGATGCACAATCAAGAATCATAACCCAAGCATTACGAAAAATACATTCTTCATTATCCCATTCTCGTACCCTTATTGTTTTTATTAACCAGGTTATCACCACTGTACTTAAAAACATTATAACCTATTAATTGTCTGTTCAAAATTGCATCTTAAAAGCTGCAGAAGGAGAAATAATATTTACTATGTAACATTTCTTCTGTATCCAGATTAGATCAAGTCCAAAGTCAGGGAAAGAATTTGGACCTACGGATGAGGTTACTTGTGGTGGAAATGCCTTGAAATTCTACGCGGCAGTGCGGTTGAGACTTAAAAGGATACAGTTGCTTCAGACTGAGGAAAAGGTAAATCCTTTAATAGTTTAATAATGACCTGAAAAAAATTATTGATGTTATGCTGCGGCTGATGCTACTTAATGCTTCATGCTGTTTTGCTGTTGGTCTCTTTGGATGAGCCATATTGCTGTTGGGCAATATATTGGTCTTATTTGTTTTTTGTTTTTGTTTATAATTTTATTATTATCATTTGATCAAAAGTGAAAATATGGTCATATTTGTTAAGACTACCTAAAAGTTGTCCAAAAAACGACAGTTTCTTTGATGTTCTGAGCAGTGGGAGTACTCAATAAGAGTATCACCTGTTTTTGTTTGGTAAATGAAACAATAACTAATTGAGTAGGAAAACTGACAGAAAGGTAGATATATTCTTAAAAGTTAGAGAGCAAAATCAAAGAACAATAAGTAGAATAGTATAGAACTGCAAAGAGAAAGCAATAGAATAAAAAATCGCTTCTGCAGTTGATGTATTTTTCCATGAATTTCAGTGGCTGCAATCTCTTGTCCTTGCCTGAAAACTGAGTGCTAAGAGAAGAGAGCGTGACGTCCTTGACAAGTGAATGTGCATTAGAGCCACTAGTAGTGCTTTTCGCTTCACAGTTATGTGAACTTATTAAAACCACTATGTTTATTGTGGGTGTTAGGTTGATCTAGTTAGAATATGGCAGTTCTCTTCTTTATCGATGTGAACTTATCAAAGTCCATATTGTTTTTAGGTTACAGGTCTTGGGATTTCTGTGCAAGTTGTGAAAAACAAATTAGCACCTGCAATGAAGAAGGCCGATCTGGGAATACAGTTCGGGAGAGGCTTAAGCTGTGAATCAGAGGTATTGCAGTTGGCTTGTGAACACGGGGTCATTGCCAAAGAAGGAAGCAACTACCTCATAGGGCAAAAGGTTTTTAGTAATGAACGTGCAGCTGAACAGTGTCTGGCAAAAAACGATGCGCTTTTTGATGAGGTAGGTAACGATCTTAAGGAAAATACTGTTTGAAAGATAGAGTACCTAGACGACGCTGACTGAACGAACATCTGTCAAATGTGAGGTGTAAAATGGTGGAGTGATCTAGTCCCGTGTCATGATGCTACCTGAAGGTTTGGGATGACATTCCGGTTTATGATGCAGCTAGCATTTCTGTCAAAAATTTGACGGAGGCTAAATGCGAGTTCCGAATTAGAAAAAATGGAAGATTTCACCGTTATTCAACGCCTCAAGGTTATCGTATGTAAAATTGTCGGAGCTGTTCCGTGGTTTGTGTAGTAACAAATCCACGACACTGTCGACTTTCACTTGTATATAGAACCTTGATTACGAGTTATATTTTATATCTCCATGCCTTATGAGAAACGTGTCTCATATGATATCACACTTTGCATGTCTCGTAACAGAATTTTGGACAGAATTGTGATGGAATGACAACATTAATTTACGACACCTATTTTTAGGTGTTACATTAATTGATTATCAATTTCAGGTATCATTTTGATAGTTTGGGTTAATTTCAAGAACCATTTGTGATATAAATCGTTGAATTTTTATGTACTATTTTATTATAGATAGAATGGAAATTCGTAACGAAAGTGAGGGATATTGAAGAGTGGAGTAAGAATAGTGGGGAGAGATGTAGAGAAGGTACAAGGTATAGGATGAAAACTTGAAAAATCCAAAGACTGTTCTATGTTGTTCACCTTCGAAATTTTGGTTTTATTCATTTATTCCTGAGCCTAGTAGTGTATGCTTATAACTAAGCAATGCGCTTTAATAGTAAGGATACACGACCACTTGGTATTCTGTGCCAAGAATATGAGGACATGTGTTAGTTTTTTTTTTTTTTTTTTTTTTTTTTTTTCACATGCTCTTGTGTTATTGGCACATGATGCAGCCGTGACAATGTACCCGTATCATGCAAGCTACTTTTTGTCGCATGAGGTGTTTGAGTCTAGCTAGTCTTAAGCCTACGTGGCACTCTCAACCTATCATGGATATATAGGTAGTGAAAAAAAGTTGAGGTTTTACAATAAAATTAATTGACAATATAAAAATTAGATGAATTACTTATAAGCACATGGAAGGTCCATTCTTGCTCATATATGGGATTCGTACTCTCAACAGTTAGCAAGTAACAAATAATTTGAAATATGATTCCCATTCTCGTTTATTTTTTCTCGTCATCCGCCACTTTTCTTTGTCCCTCATTTTTCTTATGTATTTACTTCATACGTCAAGCAACAAAAGAAAAACTAAAATTGAAATAGTTATCAAACCATCCCTAAAAGTATGCCCTTAACTACCAAATGATTTTTCATTTTGAGAAAGCTAGACACGAAAAAAACTTATCTTTTCTAATTAGTAATTCATTTTACCATCTAGTTGTATGTTATCCAACCGAATGCATCAAGTGTGCCCAGTACAAATCGTGCATTCGTCTATTTTCTAATACGAAGATTAATATACCACGAGACACTATCCGACTACTATGCACACAACAATTCTTTCTCACATGGTAGTTGTATATGGAATCATCCTACCAAGGTGCGGCTGCCCCCTCTAGAAGGCAGACTGCGGCATGAGAACCTCCTATATACCTCCCATCTCGTGGATCTTATCAAGACGCCTCTTCATGTGTGGCGAATTTTCAAGCCTAATACGTGGACAACACAACTCGGATGACACGGAGCATGTGTGGGCTTCACACATAACAACCCGCTCTAATACCATGAAGAGAGTTGAGGTTCTAACATAAAATCAATTGGCAATATGGTAAGTAACTCAACTACTTGTAAGCACATGCAAAGTCTATTATCTCGTCAATGTGAAATTCATTATCAAAAAATCCATTACGGAGGCCAGCACCGGATGTAATCTTATTTTCAAACAAATCAATGAAATCATATTTTTTTTTAATATGGTACCACCTGCCATTGTCTAAAGACCGTCCAACTCACGCTTCCCTTCTTCTCTTGTTCAAATCTTCATCTTCTTCGTCTGGATCTTCATCTGCAATGGAGGATTCATACAAATTTCAATCAATGAAATGATCAAAATCAAATTACAAAATGTTGATGAAATATTCACGAAGTATTTACAAAATCACAGGAAATGACCATTTCAATAACATTGAAATTGTGTTTTAATTATTTCAACCAAATTCCCATGATCATTTATGGGTAATGTTTCGATTTATTGGGTAATTACTTAGAGCACCTCCAGTGTGGGCATTAGCCCTGTGGACAGGCTGCTCCATCAACCCAATCACTTGCTAAAGTGATTCCAGCCCATTCGGGCTATTGGGCTGAGGGGGAGCCCGAAGGACAGCTCAGACACAAACCCAAGGCCCGAGCACCTAAGGGGAGAGTGATGCAAGGCTGACGTCAGCCACGTTATAAAAAAATTTGCATCAATTGCATGGCTAACAAGTGTGTGTGGGGGTGCATCATCGACAGGGTTTGCAGGCGATGGGGCCCGTGCTGGACATGCTATCTATAGTCGTTGCTAGGTGCAATATGGCACCCTCTCAGCCGTTGGATTTCAACGGCTCTTTTTTCTGGACCATTCTATTTCCAATGGTAAATTTTTTTTTTTGGAAACTCCCCCAACGGCTAGATGATGTGGCACAATCTGAACCGTTCGATTCTAGATCAACAGTCTACGTTTTTCAGCTTTAAAATTTTTTAAAAAAAGAAAAAAAATGATATGTTACCATTATGCCACGTGCCACAATCTGGAGGGTTGGATTTCAAATTTTTTGTAATCCAACAGTAGAAATTAATTAAGTTAATAAAATTACATAAACACATCAAATAAAAAAAGAAAAAAACCATACTAAATGAACTTAAAAAACACACCAAATAAAAAAAACATACTAAATGAACTTAAAAAACACACCAAACAAACTAAGAGCATTATTGTTCCACCAAAAATTGTACTTTCGAATAATGACACATGGCATAATGAGACTAGTTAAAAATGCTATCTAAAATTACAAATAAAATTGTTTTTTTATTATTTTATAAAATAAAAAATACTAATATTTTATTACTTATTGCAATGACTATTCAGTTTGGAGGTGAAGATGTAAAAGACAATTACTGTTTATTAAAAACAGTTACTATTCAGTGAAGCGGATTCAATTGCCAATTGCCAATTGCCATGAGAAGCCCTTACACACTGGAATTGCTCTTAGGTGAGGGTGTGAAGGCGGAATCAAAATCTGTTGCCTCCAAACTTGTGGTCTAATTAGGTTTGCGTTTTTTTATTCTCCCCAATTTTTGTGACGTTAGGTTCATCATTAAGAATTTGGACCGCATGTTTAGGTAAAAGCTAAACTAATCAATAATTCAAATCCATGTATTTTGGTAAGAGAACACTCATAATTAAAATATTGTGTTAAGGCTAGTGGTTTTAACACCATTTTTAGCCTCTGCATTCCTTATGTGATTACACAAAAAATTGTAAAACATCGAGTTTGGAGTGTGGATGGTTAAAAACAGAAGCGTAACAAGTGTTAAACTCGTCAGCGTTATTCGAACTGTAACAAGAAACCTACACTAGGAGATAATAATTTTGTTGCAGCAGAAGTGGGATTTTTTCTGCATAAATCGGAAACCTTAGAAGATTCAGGTTAAATTTAGAAAATATCGATAGATATTGGTGATTATCAGTTAAAAACATAAAAAAAATGAGGAAAGCTTACTAATAAACATAAAAGTTAGGTTTCATACTTCTATAATCCAAATCAACCAATAACGTATCAATTTAACGTATAAACTTTGTAAAATATCTACTCTTAAAGAAAATTTGCAAAATACAATGAAACCTTGATAGTACGATATAAGTTTTTACGTTTGTACGTACTTTATATTTGTACATGAAACAATTTAATAATATGGTATAAGTTTTTAATTACAAAATCCAAAGTTGAGAGAATTGTTTTTACTGCCTTTCAAGTTGAACAATGTTGAGATATTGACTAGCAACTATAAGCAATTTTATAATCGAAAATGCACTGACGAAATTTCCATCAAAATATCTCTAAAATCTCCCAAATTGGGTAGATATTGGACCAAGGTATCGAAATTTTACCGAAATCCTCAATACCGCTGAAATATCTTTGAAATTTCATAGAAATCTTGTTAAAATGTTTAGATTCTTGTCTTAAGTTCAAGTGATTAAACGTGTTTATCCGTAAACTCGAGATTTTGCGTTCAAATGTCTCTTCCTCAATGGCCCTTGTATAAAAATGAAAATGGAAGATTCCCAAAGCTTCAATAATTGAAAAAGGATCATCATAGATAGTGCTTAGAACATAGTTTCCTAGGGTTGGCACAATTAAAGTTTTGACATTAGTAAATGGACAGCGACATTAATAAGGCTGGTTTTCTCACCAACAACAAACAAATAATAAGCAGGGGATGAACAAGTTGTTTTCAAAATTGTAATCCAGCTTAATTATCATAATCTTGAGTCATTTTCTACACTTGATCAACCTTTGCTTTATTAAATAGGAGAAATTTCAAGAAATACGCTTCAGTGGTGTAAGATTTCAGATGTGAAAGAGACCTTCATTTTGGCATGAACTTGTACCACGAGTAGTTTAGATGAATTTACGGTAGACCATTCCATCGTCTGTCAATTAAGTAAATTTACTAAAACTCAACTAAATCACAACAATAACGCAAATTAACAGCATGATATGTAAATTCCAAGAGGAGCTTGTGAAGAAGCATGTACCGTTGGTTTGGCTTTTTTGGCACTTATTCCTTTGATATGGGAAATCGCCAATAGAGGAAAGAGCAAAAGGAAATGAATTATATGAAAGGTGATTGGATTCTGTTTTGTTCTTGGGAAATTGTCATGGCACTCCAAAATTAGCTTCTCATTATCGATGGAATACCACCGCATGGTACATTCTTCAGCTCTTATTTCTTAAAGTATAAGTGGTCTATTATTAATATTTTACCACGTGAATTAGTTATAATGTAAGATACACACACACACACACTGGTATTTCACATATTAAAGCATGAAAAACTTATTTTGAAATGCCTAAAAACATCTCACATGGTAATTATGGGCTCGTTTGATAGTGTTTTTAAAATAACTAAAAGCGTTTTTGGTTAAATTTTTTTTGAAACTAATCCTTAGTAAAAATTTTAGGGGATACTAGAAAAGCATTTTAAGTGCTTTCTGTAAGACACACATATCTGGTGTTTCTTCCACTAAGCACTTAAAGTGCTTTTGGAACACAAAACAATTTCTTCAAAAGCGTTTTTAATTATTTTAAAAGAACTTCCAAATGAGCTCTATACATGTCCTACATTATTTGTTTCGTTGCTTGGAAAACAGTAAAGTGCCCAAAGTTTTTAGGCTTGAAAACCAGCAAATGTAGAGAACTTTCAGGGCTCTAAGACAAAGTGCATAGCTGGTTGAGTTCTAGTACCATGTATGCATTATATATGAAGTGTGGAAAATTAGCAAATA